GGAACAGATGAATCGTCAATAATCGTTGGTTCGTGGTAAATGGTTAAATGTGCCAGATTCGTTACCACACATTTGTGAATGAAGATTACTAATACTAACATCGACCTGCAGGACTGCTTCGAGCCTTCCGTGTAACTCGAGACTGCAGCTCGTTAAGGTGAATGTGAAATATATGTCTGAAGTTGAAGGTTAATGCAACATCGTTGTGAAGCGGCGTTAGGGAAGAGGTGAAGTGCTTCTACGATTAGTACCGCAACTTATATTCTCCGTGTTTGCTATGGCAGGAAAGAAATCAAATTGCAAATGGACTATTTAGCTGTAATCATTGGAGGTTTCCTCAAATCAACTTAAAAGGGCCAGTGTTTGCAGCAGAACCACCGCGCGTGAACTAGTCAACTTGACCAGGCTAGGCAAGAATTTGGTTAACTGACTGCCCTGGCAACACAGTTCGACTTCAACCCACAGCTCTTGATTGTCCAATCTGATGCATTCCATGAGTGAATGTTCACTATAGTCCAGTGGCGTTAGGGCTCTCACAGCCCCCTTTTCCACCTGTGGTCAAGGGATCGTAATTACTTGCATTTAGGATCCGATTTGTGTGACTGACAGTCAGTTGGTAAAACTGAGAGATAAACGACGAGATTCCTTTCGTCTCGACCCCTGACTCTGGCAGTGCCTCCGATTCATGCGACGACAGGGATGGTCAAAAAGACAGAAAATGAACAGCCTTTCCTACCGACAATCCCTTAATATTAAAGTTAAAAAAGTTGGGAAAAGAGGAAAGTAAAGAAATTCGTAAGTTATTATTACACCCTTTCTATCTTTCATCTTCCTTCATTTCGCCTTTGTTTAATTCTATCCTAGTTCACTTTAGTTTTCATAACTAAGCTATTTGCAGAATAGGTTATTGGAAATTGCTCGTGTGTACACTGTGCTTACTTTGCTCTTTGATGGTTGTGAATTGTCCACCTGGTACAGATTTTATTCACTGAATTCCTTGCAACCCGAATTTCACTGCTGGCTATGGAATTTGTGCTATGTTTAATTATAGCTTCATTCTCCCTCACATTCTTTTTTTTTCCAAGCTAACGATACTCAACCCGTTTCGACTGAAACAGCTGGCGTCGATTGGGGTTCAATGAGCTTCACCTCCATAGCTGTCTCTACGTTTACATCTGCATTCACCGCCGACTCCAAAATTGTGTCTCCCTCAACCTCGACCACCTCACGCAGGTGCACCGACCAAAAGGACTGGTTGGATGATACCGATGTCATGAATCGGCGAAAATTGGCAAAATATGGCACCCTTAAATTGTGTCAGTAAATTTCCACTTTCTTTTATTAAACTTACAAGTGTTTTTTGAATATTTGCACTGTACTGTACTCGTGTCGACTTTTCTGCTCATTCACTTTGCTTTTTAGCAGTCAACATGCCATTTAAAATACATGCATCCACTCTCGTTAGGCATACGTCCAAAGCTACACTGAACACGACATGCTCCATTTTCGTTAGATTAACTGCTATATAAAACCATTAATTATGCGTGGCTAGATCACAGTAAACAATCACTTCGGTGTGGGCTTTGTTTGGGTCAGTTACGGAAGCATGCATTGAGAGTTTCTGGGCTAGTATTGCCAATCAAGTTGGCACCGTGATAGAAGAGATCAGCAGGTGGCAAATAACATTCACTGGTAGTTGATGCAAGTTCCAATTTCCTCATTTCTCAGTTCGAAAAGGATGAGTCCGGTCTCCCCTCCTCAACGGCGTAAAGCATCGTGATCGGCAAAGTGACATCGCTTTCCAAGAACCATCAATCACCGATCTTCTTTCTCACTTTGTTGGAAACATTGCATTCGCAAAACATTATGCATTCACTCCGTGTCTCTCTTTATCGGCACAGAGGAAGTAGATGTTTACAACCCAAAAGTATATTCTTGTTTTTCGTTTACCCGCCTACCAAACCGACTGCTTTTAACACAACTGAACCATTCTTCGGATCATATATTGGCTTATTTCCGAGTAGCGACCTGAGGCTATGCCTGTGAGTCTTCAATGGCACCTCTATAATGCGTGCATGTTCCACAAAATAAAACACTTTATGCGCACTCATCACTGGTCTTGAATTCGCAGTTGCGTAAAAATTTGGATTTGCACACCGCCTTTTTACCTCCTCTATGTTACATTGAGGTGTACAGTTAAATATACGCTTATCGTGATGGAAAATCAAAAAAGGAAGCTGAGTGTAACCCATTCACTCAGAGCGAATACTTGCGCTAATGATCTGGCCTACTTCTCGCTGGTATTTCTCTTTTGCAATCAGCCAATTCCTGGATATTCTTTGAGCAACTGGGCTGGGGTGCGAAGGCTACGTAATTAGCAACCCGACAAGTTTGATTAATAGTTGGACGGGTTGCTAGACATCCACTTGACGCAAGGTAATATCATAGATCAGTCCTTGAAACAGTAACGGTAGGTGGATTGGTGGGGCCCAAATTTAGCTTTAATTCCTAACTAATTCAATTCTTTTCGTACTGCTGATATTCCTAATGAAATTGCCTGCTACATTGCCTGGTTGGGAAAACACTTTTAATTAGCATCATGGGCTGTTCACTTAAGTGCTGACAAGGCTATGCACAGACAAATGGAAGGACAGAAATGTAGTTCAAGGTGAAAGTTTCACGCCTATGCTAAGACATGAGATTATCGAGTGTGACTGATCATTGTTTGTGAAGGAAAGTGTGAGTGAGCACGGTCAATACGGCCACGACAAAACTAACGAAACCACGTTATTTTGGCTGTATTTGTGGTGTCATGATTAGACTGATTTTGAAGCTGGTGCATGATTTGACACCTAGGATTCTATGCGTCCTGATAAGGAAGTAAGAGAAGGAGGTGCTTCCTAATCTTCATCTTTATTCCCCTTAGTGATCAACATTTGTCGTAGAGAGTTCCAATTTATTGGTCATTAACGAGATAGAGTGGGCAGTAGGACAATGAAGATGTAAAGAAAAACCAAAAGGCATAAAGCATAAATATCCTAAAACTGGCCACCTTTTAAAATTTGGCCTGTTTTACCAGGTGTGCAGATTTTATGCACTGTTTACTTGTATCAATTAGCATGGCTATTCCTCAGATGGTCGATTTAGCACTGCATTCGGATTTAAGGGGCGCACTAATTCATTGACATATTTGCTACTTCTTTTGTCAACAGCTAGTCTCATATTTCTGCTTAGGTCAGATCATTGAGATTAATGTATTTTAGGCTTGAAAATAGGTGGGTAAAGAGAA